CGCGCGGGTTCGAGCTGCGCGACTGGGGCGGGGTGGCGGGACCGCGGCCTGGCCGCCCCTCCCCCGCGCCACGAGGGACAACAAAGGCCGCGGCGCCACGCCCCCGCCGGGCGCTGGGGTCCGGGTCTGGCCGCTCCCCTCGCCCAGAGCCCAAGCGCGGGTCGGAACTCGCTCACCCGGAGCGCGGGACAGGTGTCGCCCGGTCGGGTGCGGGGCTGCGTCCTGTCCTTTTGTTGGCGCCATCAGGTACGAACAATGGGCGTGAAGTCCGAGCTGCCCGGCGGCGCGGGCGAGTTCGAGTAAAGACGAGGCTCGAGGCTTCTGCTCTGTGGGCCTCGGAAGTTAACAACCCAAAGCAGTTGGCGTGTCGGTGAGAACTAGAGGACTGTTAATAAAGGAGCTTTCAGCCGGACGTCCGTGACACATGCTTTTAAGTCCCAGCGCCCGGGAAGCAGAGGCAGGAGGGTGGCTACAGGTTAGAGGCCAGCCTGGGCCACACAGCGAAATTCATTTACCCTCTTTGTTCTTTGAGGTGATGTATGGTGGTAGTACAGAGGAAGAGGTCATGATCATCAAGAGATGTGTTAAATAAGGCCTACCTAGAGAATTTTTTTAATGTTTACTAGAAGTCGTTCCTTATTTTTGTGCTACCTTAGGGTGTAAGTTTACTGAATCAGTGATTTTTCGAGTTGTGCTTTTAACCCCTTGTTTATAATACAGTTTTCTTTTTGGCGGAACCGAGGATTGAACTCAGGCCCTTGCACTTGCCAGGGAAGCGCTTATTCCACTGAGCCATCTCTCCCGGGCCCCTATAATACAGTTGTCAAAATTTTTCATACAAACATTGAGGAGTTACTGTATTCGACATTGTTATGAAGTAAACCACCAAAAAATGCTCCTTACACTCCGCTGCAAAACATTTTTCGTTTTTTTTTTTTTTTCCTTTTTTTTAAGACACGGTCACTTATTCCACTGAGCCATCTCCCCAGCCCGTTATATAATTTAGATTGGCTCTAGACTCATGGCGATCCTCTTGTCTCAACCTTACAAGTGCTGGGATTGAAAGACCAAAGCATGGCTCCCACCACAAATTTCAAAAAACACCCTTTCCAGTTGTGTTGTGTTCTCCTTTGGGCAGTTTATGTTCTCTGTCTTCGGAATGTGGTTGGTGGTTGGTACTTGGTGCCTAAGGCACCTCATCCTTAGTTACTTAGGTAAATCTTCGTGGAATGAATGAAAAAGTGAAGCAGGAACTGGTCAGGGTTTGACCTTTGTTAGGCAAGGGAGACATTTTTTGATTTTCTGTTGTTACATTTGACACTTTCACAAGTGCTGTTTCTTTTTCTTTCTTTTTTGGCGGAACCGGGGATTGAACTCAGGCCCTTGTGCTTGCCAGGGAAACACTTATTCCACTGAGCCATCTCCTGGCCCCCCTTTTTAAAAAAAAAAAAAAAAAAAAATATTTTTTGAGATAAGATCTCACAGTTTAGGGTAGGCTGGCCTCAAACTCCTGGTTATTCATTCCCCTGCCTCATCCTCCTGAGTGCTGGACTACAGTCGTGTGTCATGATGCGAGGCTCAAGTAACCATTTTTATCTGAAATGAGAAAGTGAGAGATAATTATGTTTTTAGATGCTCTGAGTTTTTCTCCTTTGAAATCAGGTTTGGAACTGTAGATTTATTCATCTATGGACAAGTAGATAAGAAAAAACAGAGGGGAGGAGGAGCTGAAGGGAAAGAGGGAGCACGATATGTCCCTTACAGGTACAAACTCCCTATGGTGAACGTTATCACATCTAAAATGTACCAATGAAAAATAA